CTCTAAAAATATAAAAGATGGCAAAAAATGGAAAAATATATAGTATGTGGTTAAAATATTACTTACTTTATTATTTGAAATGAACATATTTTTGCTGCTATATGCCTTAATAATTAAGATTTAATTTTTAAGAAAGCTTTTACTAGCCAAAGTCTCCTTTAAGCAAAATATAGTAGATTCGCCTACTACAATTCTTTTCTTAGAAATTTATTATTTGATCCCCTAATTTATTTATTCTTTATTACCAAAAACAGTATATGGCGGACTTAATGCCATAGGCATTCTCTTCCAGTCAACCAGTATGGGTGTTTTGGCGATAGAGTGCGAGCTACTAAGAAGCTACAGAACTATACTATACATATAGTAGGATACTATATTATATAGTAGGATTTGCAACCCTAAGTGTTAACGAAAGAATGTTTTAAACAGCCACAATAAGTTTTTTACAAGTTTTGTTTAAAACTAGTATATTATGACTTGTTTCTTGGTGGAAGCGGGGGATTAGGAAACAATAAGTACTCATGTTAAGAACAATGAACCTTAAACTAAAAACCTTAAAAAATATAATATAATAACTAAAATATATTACTAAAAGGAGTCCCTTTAGGCAAGGTTCCGAAGATACTGGCAGCGTTCCCCCTTTGAATAGCTAGACTAATTCTTTGTCCGAGGTAGCTGCCAGCTCTTCGGTCTCCAGTGATGTCGACTAACCTTTTTGATATTTCCTTAAAAAACCTCATAGCGCTAGGACCCCATGGACCAAGGGTCTCGACACCGAATGGGACAAAATCATATTCGGAGCCTAGACCCCTGTATTTACATGTTAAGTAATTACCAAAGAAAATGAATTAGCCTTATATTTTTGAAATTCAGATGGTTTTCTTCTACTAAAATTTAGTTCGACCTTTTTCCTTTGTCTATTTGGTAATTATCAATAAGTGTTTGGAACGATGGAGTGACGATTTGCGCAAGGTGGCTAACAGGAGCTGGATGCGAGTAGCCCAAGATCGATCTGAGTGGCGTGCAATTGGAGAGGCCTATGTCCAGCAGTGGACTAAGATAGGCTGTTGATGATGATGATGATGATTGTGTCCAGCATGTTTTTTCTTTATTCACATAATAAAAACGTTGCACACATTAGAATTTTTATTTAGAAGTGACGTCACGGCACAAGCCTCATTCCCGAACTTTGGCGTGGTTCATTTTCGTCATATTTAGTCTAAAGGACTAAATTGTACCTTTTTTTTTTAATTTGCCCCGTTACCGTCGTCATTATGCAGCTCCTAAACTCTAATACGATACAGCATCCGACATCAAATTGGTACTAGTCTAACTTCACTCAAATGCCACAGCTGTTTCCCTTTTTTTGCAATATTAACTCATCTCTGGAGGGTTCGTGGGTGATAGTGCAACATTTGGCCCTAGGACGTTCATGAATATTTTGTTCCAGATATCAAACCATGTCCCGTTTTGGACTGCGAGTGTATGAAGAACTTAGATTGCGCCAGCTGGCAACTTTACTGAACACGTAACATTGATATCTATTGGAATTTAAAAGGATGCTACAGACACCAAATGAAGGCGCATAAACTGACACTACGTAGTTAACTTTAGTGAACTTTCGCAGTGGTCGGTCATTGGATGGGTGACCAAAAATCTTCTATCTCGAGTTTCTCCGTGCTTCGGAAGGCACGCTAAGCCGTTGGCCTCGGCTGCATCTGCAGTCGTTAACACCCACCTATCCGCACTGGGGCCGCGTGGTAGGTCACGGCCCAATCTCCCTATTCCATCCATAGGCAAGACCTGTGCCCCAGCAGTAGAGAGATTAATAAGTTGATGATGATGATTGTTACTAAAAATATACTCAAAATCATAGACATATTTGATTACGTATTCGCCACTGTTTTGACGATCTCCGTGGTGTTTTTCAAAGTTTAGTCTACACAGAGGTCTTAGATTCGAATATAAGTATTTGTGACCAAGTCATGGCTGTTTATATATAATTTCTATAAAATATACTTCTTTGCTGTACTTTTCCGTTACCCTAGTATCCTATATAATACAGGGAGAAAAAAACAGCCCTTGCTGAGTTTCTTGCCGGTTCTTCTCAGTACAAGTCTCCCGCCGTAGATTTGCGAACCGATGGCGTAGCTTTTCGACATTCACAAGTGCTTGTAACAGCCTAGACTGAATGAACGATATTGAATTTTGAATTTTTATATCACAAGGCTTAAAGTGCTTACTTTGGGGCAAGGCTAATTGGTGTGAGTATCAAATAAAATGAGTGATTTTACGTTTTAGTAACAAGAGATGTGTCAATAAGCGAATCTATCAAACTACTATTGAGGCACGATTCTTACAGCTCAGCAGAATCGACACCCTGGCCGTATGACGCAACGGCATCGCTGATCGATGACGTACTGTCAAGCAGTGCCAAGGTCGCGGCCGGCAGCCCAGTAGGTAGGTAGGTAGATGTTCCGTGACAGCTGTCAAACGTTGTTGTGTTGCGTTGGGTGGGTGGTTGGTGAAAAACGCGCGCTGTCAGCCGTCCGCGCCGCGCGGTAATGGATCGCCGTACGCCGCCATGTTTGCTGCGGGTCGGCGACCTTTTTTCGGCAGATTTTGTTTTGTTTTTTTTCTTACGTTTTGCAGTAGGTTACTCGCTCGGCTTTTTTTCAGTCTTCGATTTGTTGATTTCGGTTTTGCTATGAAATTTTTGCCTAAGTTGTTTACACAGCTATATTAAGGTTGTAAACATCGTTGCTAAGTACTAGTACGCCGTATACTAATCGGCTAAAAGCTGTAATATTGTCTTCTATTAGGAATGTTCCTTATTTAGTGCCTAAACCATTGTTGTTAGCTTTTTACTAAGTGTTTGATTAATATTTCTAAAAACCCCTCTTAAGTGCTATTAAAGTATATTTGCAGTGTCACACACTAGTGTGTGTTCTGCATCTGTCATACTTAAAAGAAGCTTTGAAAAGAGTTGTCTATTTATTTATTCTTTATTACCAAAATACAGTAATGCCATAGGCATTCTTTAGCAACTGCGACTAACCCTATCAGACTTACCTAAAGATCCAATTATACAACAAAATTCAATAAGTCTAATTAATTTACTAATACGTTCGCACAAATCAAGTCGAGCAAGATGAACTTAATTAAACAGAAAAAATAAATTACTAAACCTTTAATTTGAACTGTAACCCACAAAATAAATAGCAAACAACAAACAAGTACGCATTAGGCGTTCGATTGTTCTACAACACCGCATTTTATTTGTCGGTTTAATGAGTATATTATTTGTTAAAGCTAAGTGCTCTTAGCCGAGCGCTCTCTCGACTGCCGAAAACAAATACCCCGTACTGCACCCGAATAGGTACTTAGTATATCGATCTGGCGTCCGTACCTACGGATGAGTTATACGTCACAGGCCGCCCGCCCCCCGGCCGAGCCAACGACCCTTACTAGCCACCCGCTCAGAACCCCACCCTACCACCCCAATAACAAGACGGCATTTCCTTTAACAGCGCGCAACCTTCTTACGACGTTCTCTAGTCTATGCCGAACTTCAAATTCAGAATGACCGAAAACACGCAGACGGACGAGTGATTATCGCCCCTATTGTTGTATGTGTAAGGTTGATGGCCGCGACCCGCCCTACCTTGGGCGGGAGCAATTAGGCGCGTTTCCGAACTGTTTTAAAAATTGCATGTTTTTTTTTTCGGCATTACTCATTGTTTCAAGGCGAGGAAGTTGCTTTTGTGCGGAATCATACTGAGCTCGTGATTTTTTTCTTTTTTGGTTTTTTTTTAACGCCGCACTATGAAGCGAACTGTTTGCAGTCGCTGCGTTTACAGCCAAACACGGAAGCATAATTCGGCAAATTGTTTTCGGTTTTTCATTTACATTTCATATTATTGTTTTTTGGCATAATATGTTCCCGTTATGGAACTCAATAAGTGACTGCTTAGTCTGTCGTGTTATCCCTAAGGGGTTGAAACATTAGGCTTTATATAATATAATCCGGAGACTTACTAAAAAACATTTGGTTTTGTTAAATTGTTTTCTATCTTGATACAAAATATTTTACAATAATTAAAATCCAACAAAATAAATTTACAAAACTATAATAAGTGTAATTTATATTCTAGCTACAATACTGCCTAAAAGATCAGCTGTAACAACACAATATTTCATCATAGTTTCATCTCATCAAATCACAAACCTACACAGATCAGTATTGAAATCGCTAGTTCAGCTTGCAACAATTAACTATCTTTACGTCTAGTTTTTAAATTTCACTTCAGGTGGAATCATCATCATCATCAGACTATAATGTCCCCACTGCTGGGACACAGGCCTTCCCTATGGATGGAATAGGGAGATTGGGCCATGACCCACCACGCGGGCCCAGTGCGGATTGGTGGGTGCCAACGACTGCAGATGCAGCCGGGACCAAAGGCTTAATGTGTCTTCCGAAGCACGGAAGAGCTCGAGATAGAAAATTTTTGGTCACCCATCCAATGACCGACCACTGCGAAAGTTGCTTAACTTCAATGATCGCAGCCAGAAGCACTAACCACTTGCGCCATCGAGCTCCTCTTACAAAGAAATATTATTTAATCAAAAATTTAAAAGATTTGTTTCTTCTCATCAAATCATAAATATATATACTATCTCGTGTTCCCCCGTGCTTCGGAAGGCACGTTAAGCCGTTGGTCCCGGCTGCATCGGGAGTCATTAGCACCCGCCAATCCGCACTGGGCCCCAGTGGTGGGTCATGGGCAAGTCTCCCTATTCCATCCATAGGGAAGGCCTGTGCCCCAGCAATAGGGACATAAATAGGCTAATGATGTGCGTATCTCGCATTTTTTCGTTTTAATCCTTAAACTGATGAGATGGAGTTTAAGAAACTGCAAGTTGATCTAAAGTGATATAAACTAAACGCTGACAAAATCACGGACAGTCGCTAGTGAATAATATACATATATAGATATATGTGCAGGATCGATCGGGGATCAAACCCGGTTCTACCGGGCGGCATCGGCGGGGCCATTAAGGAAATTGCTTTATGTGGAACCCGGGTGTAAGTACCGGGCCACGCCAGTGGGCTAAGAAAGGTAATATACATATATTTAACACACTGTATATGTACAGTGACGTTGTTCATTAAATGATTCAGTAAACAATTTCCAATAAATATAATAAATAAATAAATATTTCCAACACTCACACCAATTAGCCTAGCCCCAAAGTAAGCACTGTAAGGCTTGTGTTATGGTATACTACGGTAACGGATAGAATACATATACTGTACATATATTAGCATATTTATATATGAATACATATTAAACATCCATGACTGGAGTACAAATGCTCGTATTCATCACACAAACATCTGCCCCCACCGGGATTCGTACCTGGGACCTCTCGAGTCGGCGACACTATGAAACCCGGCGTCCAAACCACTCGGCCACGGAGGTCGTCCAATACATTACTAGAAAAATATCCACGTGGACCAGGCAGCAGACGGGACTCGAACCTTCACACCCTTCGCTCTCCGGGCGAATACACTAACCACTTATGCTACCACGGCCCTGACGGCCGTGTCGTGTCGTTTTCTAGTCAAATTTTCTTTAGATATAAACATCGAGCAGTTACATGCTTAAATAATATTTTTTTTTACTATGTTACAATATATTTATCAAAAGTGTCATGGGATGAAGTCAATGTAGCAACAAAAAAAAATCTAATAATAAGTATCCTGTGTCTCAATCCGGGTAATAAAGTATATGTGTGCCAAATTTCATGCAAATCCCTTCAGCCGTTTTTTTGTGATTGAGTAACAAACAGACAAACATACAAACTTACATACTTTCACATTTTTAATATCAGTAGGATTATAAGGGCTTCCAGGCTGCAATAACTATTTGTGAACTCTTATATCGGAAATGTATAATAAATGATGTATTTATCATCGTACGGACCATAATAATATGCTTAAAAAAAACTACAGAAAAAAAATAACAACGGCACTTCAGCCACCGTGTTATTATCGTTTAAGTAAAATGCATTGATCGTTATTAATTTTAATCGTTTTAACGTCAGACAGCTATGTATCTAGATTACTGAAGCATAAAATTGTAGGAATTTGCTTGCAGCACATAATCCCTTTAATAATTATCTAGAAACTATGTTTATAACAAACATAGGTACCTTGTTTTAAACTTTCATGGTCACTAACATTATAGTAATATAACTTATTTACGGGATTGTTACCATGTACCTTGTTTTTAGCGAGTTTCCGATATTTCGGCACTGTTGCAAGCGCCATGATCACGGAGTAACTGAACTGACAAGGTACACGGTAACAATCCAGTAAATAACTTATATTACTATAACATAGGTGCCTACCTATTTAAATAAGTAAATTTTAGCTCCTTCGATAGATATGTAGAAAGAAATTTTATAACCATGTTATAACAATATTCATGAAAAAGTTAATAAAAACTTTACTTTCGACATTGAGTTTAGATTTTTTTTTCAACTAAAGCTTGGAACGAGGTTTGTTCGATCGTTAGGGGATTAATAAAAAAAAAATAACAAAAAAATAGAAATTCGAATTTGGAATCGGAGCCAAATTCAACGGCAATGCCAAGTATCCAGCAATCGTGTTTATCCGACAAAAAGCATCAGAATATTGGCGACAGTGACCGCTGGCGTTTGCCAGATTCGGACGTTGGGAATCTAAAAAAAAAAGACGCGCACACACAAAAGAAGCAACCAAAGTCCTTCCGACAGTCGGGGCTCAGTACCAGTGCAACATAAAACACGGGGAGTCTCCGCGGCAGAAAAACTGCCGAGTGATTTATCGTGAGAAGAGGGACATCTTCGCGGGCCTTTATCTCATGGGTTGTACAGGTACCTCCAGGCAGGTGCTGCTCTCCTGGTGTCCCTCTATCCTAGCGTGGATTATTTATGTCTTTTCCGCCTGTCCGTTTTTTTTTATTTCCTTTTTATGGCTTGGGGTAATTGAACCTTTTTGTTTTTTACCGTCCGCAGCGCTATTCGGTATCAAATAATAATTACGCTTGACCTCATGAGTGCTCGAGTTGACGGGGGCATGTCATGTCACTCAACCCAATCTTATAATCTGTTAAAATAAAAAAATACATAATCATGCGTTACCATATCGCTTTTATGAGATTCTAAACTATTATGATACGGCTATTATTAGAGTCCACTTCGAGTCTATTGCTATTTCAAGCACTTACGGTTCGTTGAAGCTTTGACGTTCACTGCTTATGAATATATGGAATGAACAATCACGTTTGATGACTCAAGAATCAAATTACAGTAACAGGTCTAAGTATTTACTTTTAAATTTAAAAATAAAGATCTCGAGTTAAAGGCAAATGTTTCAAACATAAACAGCCTAACAAACAAAAAAAAGAAATATCTCAGGCGAGTCCGAATCGAAACGAGCCACCACGAAACGGGGCGAATCGTTTAAAAAGCGATAATTAATAGTGATTATTGTGTAAAAATAATTGTTGGTTTCCTTAAATTATGCCCCTCAGAACTAATTTCTGATTCACGCTACGGGTGTTATTATAAAAATCTGCCGTTTCTTTTATACGAACGATAGATATCAAAATATTTTTCGAAGCACCAATTGTTTTAATTCGGAAACGAGAAAAACAAGAATTATGTACGTTGTAATTGGTACGTTCGAAAACGGAGCTTCAGCATTGTTCTATGTTTTGTTGTACTAATTGGAGTTTAATAATTGGTTACAACTATGTATCCACTTTAGTGTGAATTCATTGAGTTGAACTTTTGTTTTAAGAAGTTGTTTTTAAGAAAAAAAAATAACTGGTATACTGTGATTACAATTTTATTTTTCAAATTTGGAACTGTTATAGATAAAAGCAAATCTTTTAAATTCTAATTAGGGGTGTGAAAATTCACTGACGATGGCAATATTTCTAGTAAGCTAGAAAAAAAAACAAATAAGAAATCTGAAGCAAATTTTACTATAAAAAGCAGGTCGGCGTGGATTCATTGTATTTTAAACATCTAGCAGTTAAATGATAAACAAAATATAACAAATTAGAAATAAACCTCTTTCGAAAACGAGTAGGTAAATAATGCATTCGCCGGAGCCAAGCTGAGCTGAATTAAGTTCCGCATGCCGTTTAACCTGGCTGCATATTTCTCGTCTGCATTTGTCCCATTTCAAAAACGGCGTTGAAACTCGGCCAACTTTTAACTTTATTTGTATTGACGGTCGCGTTTTAGAAATTATAGAACTTGCCGCATTCCCATTCATGTTTTTTGCATGAGATATATTATACTGTCACACACGGTTGGAAACGGGCATATTTAGACAATTTCCTTAACAAATCCCTAGCAAGGGGCTCGCCCTCGTATAAATAATATAGCATTGCCACCTCAGCTCACCCTATTCTGAAATTCGCCAGGTTATTACAATTTTTCGCGTTATGAATATCGTCGCGAGGAGCCTTAATATCCCCTCACGCGGGGGAGTCACACCTCAGCAATTTTACTTTAATTCTTATTTAGAGTGCCACCTTATTTCGGTTACAAGATTTTTAGTATTTGTTTATGGCTTTAACTTGTTCTTTGGCGAGGTAATGGGTCGTTTTTGCATTTTTTCGGCGCTGTAATTCGCATTTATGTTTTCCAGTTAGTTCTTTTACTTTTGGGGGAAACGCGAATTATCTGTTATAGGGATACTGCAGAACGCGATGGGATAGCAAGAGGAGAATAACGAGAGGATCAAAGGTCAAGGATTTATATTTTTTGAAATTCGACTGTTCATTTGGAGCCGCGCTGTACGACGTCATCGCTCCACTATCAATCATGCATGCACCATTGCGCAGCGCGCTTTTGTTCGAATTACGAATTTCGAAAAAGGAACATAACGCAAGAGAAAATTATGGTGGTTGCGTTCTTTTTGAAATTCGAATACGAAATTTGCCCCCCGCGGTGCTGCCCGCTGCAACCGACAATAACTGCGCTGTTGTGTGATTATCGTTCAATTACATTATTAAAAAGAGCATCGTATACACCCTTGATAAGCTTAACTTTTTTATCGCGTCGAGTTACTTAGGGGCCGCTGAAATTTAAGGAAACCATAGATTATAAGATTTCAGTATGTGCATATTCACTCCATTATCTGACAAATAACATTATACAGTGTGACACCGTTAAAAAAAGTAGAGAAATTGCTAATGGTGTATGATATTGCCTCCCCTCATTTTAGGGTAAGAAAAGACTAGGGTGGCAACACCTTCACTCTCCCAGGAGGTGTTTTTTGAGTCGAGTATTTTTTCTTTTTTTTTGTCTGTTTTTTGCGTAATGACATCGAGGTCCTGGGAGAGTTGGTCGAATCCATTAGATAGGCGGGAAGAGCTTAATGTAGCCGTTTTTTCGTACGTATTCGAAATCGGTTGTAAAAACGATGTCGCACGCATGTGTCGCCCTAGAGGACATTAGTACGAATTGTAATGGCTTTTTGTCTGTTCGAATGAGGAGGGCTACGACGATTGTTCTTCCATGTGTTGTAACAGAAAGAGATATTTTCGATTCGGTTCGCACAAATCGCAAACCTGAGACACAATTCTCTATACTATGTATTGAAATCTATGATAGTTATATTAACGTTTATCTAGCGGCAATGCCAACCCTTTTTTAATCGTTACCCAAATCCGTTATTATTTGATAACAAAATTTGAATTTGGAATTGTATGTTGTTCGCAGGCAAATGGTGTGGGTCGCGGCGCGAGTGGTCGTCGCCGCCGGACGTCGCGCGACGGGTGTACCAGTCCGTGTTCCTGGGCAGCCCCGGTGAGTACCCAGGTAAATGTTCACGGAGCGACGTCCGCAGGATTCCATATTTAAAAATGAACCAAAAAGTTTGTTCATACCTTATTTCACATTTCTACTTACATTATGAGACTGCAAACCTTCATAAATGAAGTTCTGTTTTCGAATTTTAAATTTAGTTACCGCATGTATGCAAAAAGTTTGTTTCTGCCTCATTCTATATTTCTGCATTAAAACCTTCAATTATTAGGTTCTGTTTTGAATTTAATAACCCCCTGAAGGCAACGCATATTGAGATAAGATTTTTGAAAAGAAAGAAGGTTCTTTCTTTTTGTAAGTCGACTCGAAAAAATCGTATTTAAAAATGGAACCAAAATATTTGTTAGTACCTTATTCGATTTTTCTCCATTATGTTCTCCCACACGTAACTGCGAATTCGCATCGCTTCGCAAATATCTGCGAGCTCACGTGAATGCACCGCAAAAACTTCCGATTTGATTCGCATCGCGCATTCCTGCAATATTATGTCTCACTTGGTGACGCCATTTTAGTCCGCTCTGAGACTTCCCCCATGTTCCATCGTTTTTGTAAAATATTTCTCATCAGAATCCCATCATCATAATCCATCTCATCACAATCGTAATAAATCAATGAACCCAAAATATTATTTTTCTTCTATATCTATTTAACAATGACAGCAGTGCAACAATCTTTTCTTGATCCATGCTACTATTACTATACCGTTGAAGCTATGGTCACCTGAACCAAAGCTTTGCCGCACGAAATCGCATCGCAGGCGACGTCGTATCGCATCGAATCGTGGTTTTGTGTGGGAGCCCTTAACCTTCAATATGCGGTCCTATTTTAAATTTAGTTACCTACTGCATGCATGCGGTGCAAATATTTCAAATTCGATTTTTCTAAGGGCGCTTTTCTCAAAAACTGGATTTAATTTATCTGTTGAAATCGTATTATACGTACAAAATAAAGTGGTAACTTGTGTTCATTGGTATAATGTAACGGATGACATCTCTCCCTATTTGATTGAGTATTAATTTATGGAACAGTTGAGTTTTATCCGAGTTTTGAAAAATCGGCCCTGAAACAATTAAACTCTTTGGTGCCTCCTTGTTTTGGATCAATTTACAAATATGGAATTCGCGTGTTTTGTTTATTTACACACATGGACTACACTCACGTGCACGCGTTTAGTAAAGTTAACAAATGCGGAGTCGGTGGGCCGCCATCGGCCGTCACTGGAGAGGCCATCCGTCAGCCGGCTCCCACTCGACAAGGTCACTGGCGCACAACCACTTTACGAATACGTTCCTAGGTATTTACATTTGAAAGAAAAAGAAAAACACATTTTATTTTTCACATAGCTTTTAATTTATAATTTACGTTAATTAAATCTATCTACATTTGAGATAGTAAAAGATCCATTTTAAATCAAAATCTAAATAGTTTCAGTTAGTTTTTTTTTATTTATTAGTCTATATTACTTTGAAATCCTTTATTATAAGCAATTACAGAAAAAAAAGTCAGCTCTGTCTATGGTGTCTCTTTTCTTGTTTTTCGTAGATACACATACAACAATCATTTATTTCTTTTAAGATTAAAGATTTAAAGGTTTTTGTGGTTTTATTTAAATAATTGTTCTCATTTAACTGTTTTTTCTTTTTAAAGATTTAATAAATTGTTATTTTTTATTTCAAACGCACAACGGATGCTTATGACAAACAACGTCTCATCAGTTTTACTCGGATGATTTTTTTGACGACGACAGGCAAATTGATTCTTATAATGAGCTGACGAAAACTAACACACATCTTGTTTATTTTTAGCGTTATTTCAATAATTTTGTTTGGAGAGACTTGTATATTATATTATGTTTCAAAACTCAGTTTAATTTGCAATAAAATTTTTGAAGCAAAAGTCCACATTATATAAATGTAGTTTGAGAAAATACAGTTTAAATTGTTTAATAAAATATTACACTCATATAAAACATGCAAAACCTATAATAAAAACTTCCGAGAACCTACTTTGAATAAAAAAAATTTAAACTACACCAATGAATGTGGACGGAAAAAGTTAATACTTGCTTTCATTATTCGTTTTGATTATAATCATTTAAATTGAATAAAAATATTTATATAACATTATTTTATAAATTAAAAATATAAATTATTATATATGAACAGTGCTAATTAAAACATGCACAACTCCAACGTAGGTAGTCGAACGAAGGAGTGTTCCGTTCGGAGAGATAGCGAGCCAGGTCCATCGATCATGTGTGTTATCGCGAGATCTGTGTCGTCTCGGTGTTGCAACGCGCAAAAAAAACTACCATCGCGGGAGATAAAGGTACTTACATTCAACATGAGGTCGAGTTCAAAACTGACAGATTCCTCCAACTTAATCTTAGCTTTATCCTACTTGATATTATGATTCACAATCGATTGGGTATGTTTAAGACTTTATGGTCACCTGATGCGCTGTTCACTGTACCTACTTTTCTGTACTACTCTTATTATCAACCACACAAAGCGGCAATGAAATTCCGAAATCAGGTTTTGTTCTTTGATACTAACACAACTACAACAAGTTATATTGTTTGTCTTGAGATTAGTATATAATACTGCTGTTTGACAGTGAAATGTGTGTAATTTTAGCCGATTAAACTGTTGTTCACATTGGGTACCAGTTTCTATAAAACGGTAAATTTTAATTCCGTTCAATTATTAATTACTTACCATAAAAAATCGAAAAGCAATAGGGACATCAATGAAATATAAAATGTTCAGCCTAACAACATAAATAACTTCTTAACAAAACTAAGTACTTATTTTATGAATCAAACATTCATAACAAGGAACAACTGCAACAAAACTACCTACATCATGCGAATTTAGTATTATCAAGTTTGTATTTAACTCATTACGAATACATTTGATCTTAGAAAAGAGTTCCTTATAAAGGTATACTCAGATAGAGACGGGAACAGAAACTAGTATTTTATAAAATACGATAAAATTAATTTGACATTATTTCCAATAATCACTCAGTCTCGCGTTCGTGCTATCTAAAAATAACTATACGTTTTTATTTTCAAAAGAATGAAGTTATAATCTTTAAGTTCACCACACAAAGTATCAAAACAAACCAGAAACGTTTACACATCGATACATCACCGCCATCTATCTGGCCGAGCGTGAAACAGGTGCGGGACACCCCCATCAATCTAAATTAGGCTTTATAATGCGCTAATAAAGTCGCAATTACAATGACGACCCTCCGCACTTGCATCTTTAACGTGTTTGATAATAATACGAAAACAGTATCTATTTCATTCTGGCACTCGTCATCTGCAGCCGTTTGTCTCTTTCTTGTTGTAACACGTCAGCGTCATGCGTTTCCATTACACTATATTAATTACAAGCATCGGTTCGCGCGTTGGCCATTACTTTTCTATAGTACGAAACGGCTTATCTCGGTATTCATTCACGAAACTTTCCCTAAGAAATGTTAGAGAAAAATAAGCTGTCAGATAAAAAGAGAAATAATAAAGCACGAAAGTAAAATGGAATCGGAAGAAGCGCAGTCAATTTATTCGAAGATTCGTTACAATTCCGATTTCTATCTGACATCTCGAATGAATGCCGCCGAAGACGGATAACCGTGGATCGCGATACCGGCAAAAACTCCGCCAGAAAGAGAGGTATCGGAGAAATCGATTCCGTCCCCGGTTGGAGAGGCTCCGAGCACCGCGAGAGAGTGCGCGCGATCGTTTCTTTACGACGTGTGAAAGAGATAAAACAATTCCTTATGTCGCTATTCTTAAGCCGTTTGCGCGCACGAAATGGCACTTTACTCGCAGACATTAAGGTCGCAGTTTCATTGTTGTGATTGCGTATTGACGATCGCGGCGTATCGTAATGGAATGTTATAACTTCATTTGGCGGTATTCATGATTAGATCCTTGCGTTGTAAAAAATAAGGTCGTTTGTTGTATGTGTTGTGGGAGTGAGTGACGATTTAGAAGCGAAGCGGCGGTTGCCATGGTTACGGGCGCGTTGGAATGCCTGTGCAGGCTCTCGCACAGGGTTGCTCATTTCAGGAATGGTTTTTCCCAAATTAGTGAGCAATAAAAATAATTATTGTCTATTGACAAGTATACAATTAGCTGAAATGGTGCATTAATGTTTTATTTATGACATTGTAATGTTTTGAACTGGAGCGTCACAAAATTAAAGAAGAGTAAGAGATAAACTTATTCTTTTGCATCCAGCGATTCTATATTATTGCTGCGTCATCATGTAGTGTAAAGGAGCTATATACATATAAACCCGTGTAGTGTAGTATTCGCAGCCGTTCTTTTATTTAGACAGTAAATTATGTGGAGTTTATTTATAGTTTCTTCATTAAACCAAGCAGGTAATTCATAAAATTCTCATTTCGAATTCACGTTTAAAATACTAAATTAGGAGGACAGAGATGGCTTATGGGCGATACGCGGGCGCGAGCGGGCGCACACTAAATTGCTCAATTTGTGCCCGACTCATAAGGTGCCTTCGTTCCTTTTTCAAAAAATCCAATGAGATCGATCGCTCGCCATGTCCGCAAATTAGAGCGGGAATCGTTGTTCGTTAGCTCGTCGCTCCGCGGCCAAACGTCTCAACGGCCAGTGGGCTGATTCAAAATGAGTTTTTATGCCGACCTCTTTAAGCGAATTTCTCTTTGGTTTGTCGATGAAGTCAAAGCTCACCGCTGCAGCCTTGTGGATGCATTTTAGTGTTACTAGCGGTCGAGACGAACCCGCTCGAATCTTTTACTGAGTCCCGACGTATGAAGTTCGGGTCATGCCCGCGTTCCTTCCCCCGGCTTCATTACAGTGCGATGACCAACCGGCACACCAGCCATTATGCCGAGATATATCTAACCTGCCGATCGCAGATACTAGAGATGAGATAGCGCGCGAATTCAACTCCGAAACCAGTTTTTCTCCGGTTAAATTACTC